CTTTAAAAAAAAAAAACAGACAATAGCATCTCCACTACCTCATCCGTTTCTGTCGCTTAGCCAAATAAGTACCCGATTACAATATTACAATAATTAAAATTTGATATTTTAGGCAAAATTGTAAAACTATTCTTATACCTTCGCCTTAAGACCAGGAAAATTTCGCAGATTCAATCTAAAATCCTATATTTCAATTCATACCGCTATCCGCTTGATGGCGCCCCGAAACATTTTGTTGATTTTGGTAAAAGACTTCAAGGATAATACACACTACACTATTGCAGGATAGCCTATCTTCATAAGGCCGGTGTAGAGAAAATCTGAAGCCCTTATCACGCCAAATCACCAGTTGTGACGTAGGCAGCATGTTGCTTCTCGCCTTGACGTAGGCTGTTTGCGCGGCAGGTTATGATTCCATTCCGCGGGCTTTTGTTTTAATGCCTACTTGAATCAAGATTCTAAAACAACTATTTTTTAGATCTCGTTGGCATCTTCCTATTTGCCCATTATGTTAATCAAAATTAAATAATATTTTCATTTAAATTTTGAACTACGACCGCTGGCGCGAACAGCTGGTCATATTACTCTCAGCCGGGTTGGTTTTAATGTCGGGGTAAGCGTGTCCAGTGGTTATGTTTACCCTGGAGTTAGGGTGGATTTTCATGCATCCGTTTTTCCGACGAAATATGTCCGAAAAACATTCTATTCTGACATAATCGTATATAAATATGTCAAAATAGAAGACTTTTCGGACATATTTCGACGGAAAAACGGATGCATGAAACTCCGGCCTATGCTTAATAATTGACCTTTTCAATTTAAAAGCCTCTCTTTCTCTGGCATCAAACTGTCAGACGCCAAAAGAGTATGAAAACAATGGTTGACAGCCGTTGACAGTAGTGGTTTGTAGAAAAAAACTATTATTTCCTCGGTTTTTTCAAGGTTTTTTCTTAACAATGGTGATTGTGTGTAGTGTGCATATTCGTAAAAATAATTCCTATTCACTGGCGGACGTGTTTTTCCATAAGTTTCCATCAAATCCAACATTTGTCAAAATTTGGATACACAAAATCAGAAAGGATGCCCGCAAAAGAAAGGGAAATCCACGACCCATCAACTATACAAAGTAATCCACGTCCAAGTTTAGTTGGCAGAAGCTGTTTGCTTCCAAAATAATCCGTACCACCGTCTCCAAAGCGAAGTTTTGCGAATGAAATAGTGACTTTTCCCACATTTTCTTTTTATTTTCAAACCCTGCGTTTTTATTTATATCAAATTTTACCGATGGATCATCATTCTATGTCGGTCATTGTCATTAGCCATTCACTTAACAAAGATAGCTAACTCATCGGTGATGTATATGGCATGTCCACGTAACGTCACAAATGAGTTTGCAGAGATAAATACCTACAATATAAACTGTCGAGAATGGAATCTCAGTGTAAATTTTGTTGTCAACAAAATTGAGCCAAGCCAGCGCCATCTACCATATCGGAAAATCACTATTTACTGGTTTTGCATCGATGCTACAGACAACTACTTTACATAGGACTTTTTATGATAGATGGCGCCCTGTTCGCATTACCGTCGGTCTGTTCAAATTCGTTTATTCTAGACTTTGGGGCATTAATGTTTGCTTAAATTAATTGATAATTGGTTAATTAGATCAAAAGACAGTTTCTTTATCGATGGTTAAGGGTATCCTTAACATATTTATTCAAAGTTCTGATTGATGTTTAATTGAACCTGTCATTATTTATCTAATCAACAAAGATAAAAATAGATCTTCCAATCTATAAAGTTTGAAGGTCTTCGTGAAACACACAAAACCACTTTGAAATCACTTAGAAACACTCGACAACACAAAGAAAGACGAAATTCAAGACCGGCGAACAAAAAACATTATGAATTATTAGTTATGATCAAATCAATATTCTGTCATATTGTCATATGTTGACATGTCAATCTCATGTCAATGTTATCGACATCGGACGTGTTCTTGATGTGCTGGTATTTTACAATTCTGTTGTTGTCAGCGACGTCTAGAAAAACGGAAAAGAGTTATTATGTGGTTTATTACTGGCAATAAGAGATCGCAGGGCCTGTGAGTTTGACAGTCGCCTTGAGGTAAAACAAATCATTAATTTACATTCGTTTAGATTAGGCCAGTTATGTTTTATGCGGTTTTCACAGCTTTTTCACAAGTTTTGGTGTTATTTTGTTTTAAAAAAGAGCAAAGTGTTTGTGTTCCAGTCTATGTGGTCTTTCATCTAAAAGTTTGCTAGATTTTTCTATAATGGATTAAATTCAGGTTTTTTCCAACAAATATCAAATCAAGTGTCACAAGAACAAATATATAAGTATAGTTATTCTATATTCAATCTATTTTTCTGTCAGATTTTCTCCTTTAAGAACATTAATCGATTTTTCTCTTCTCTCGAGCCAACAAATCAAACCTCCCATTGTTATTTAAAATTGATGGAAACCTATGGAAGGATATTGTATCCCTTGTGCTATACTGCCACAATTAATAACTAAACAAACTCTAGGCATGTCCAAGAAACTTCTGGATCACACAAAAGGTATTTATTTAACTAAAAACTTAAAAAACACTGTAAATTATATCTTTGTTTTACCCAATGAAGTATAATCAAAAACTGGAATGCGTACACATATTGACGAACATGAAGCCTAGTGCCGCTGCTGCGGAGGGGAAACCTGTTTCTGTTGCACTCATTATGTTAAATGGCGGAAATTGCTTCCAACACGTATTCCAATTGATGAAACCTGTGAAGGAAAATATGACAAATCTTTCGAAAACGTCATATGTCAGCGAGCAACAGAAAAAAACAACATTCCCCCTTATGGCATCTGTCTTTCATGGCTACATTTTTTTGGCAGATATGGCAATGTGTGCGCATTCCAGTTTTTGGCTATAGTTCATTGGTTTTATCTCAAGGCGATTGTCAATAGTGTCAAACTGTCAGATCGTGTACTTGCCCCAATGAACTATAACCAAAAACTGGAATGCGAACACATATGGCGAACGTGAGGCCTAGTGCGGCTGCTGCGGAGGGGATACCTGTTTTTGTCGCACTCATTATGTTAAATGGCGAAAATTGCTTCCAACACGTATTCCAATTGATGAAACCTGTGAAGGGATATATGACAAAACTTTCGAAAACGTCATATGTCAGCGAGCAACAGAAAGAAACAACATTCCCCCTTGTGGCATCTGTCTTTCATGGCTTCATTTTTTTGGCAGATATGGCAATGTGTGCGCATTCCAGTTTTTAGCTATAGTTCATTGACTTGCCCTATACACATTGACATTGACAAGCAAGCAAATGTTGGCGGGAAAATTAATGTTTTCATACTTATCGTCCATCTCTTTTAATTGAAAACGTCAATTAATGACGTCGGGAAAAAGACGCCCAACGCACCCCTCTTTTCACCGTGCGTTCGGTATTTTGATCCGAGTTCTCGGAGCTTGAATTATTTACCGTTCGTTCATTCAAAAAGTGTACGCGGTGCAGGCTCTTTCGCGTTCGTTTTTTAAAATTTAGGGCACAACGTTCAACAGCTCTGTTTGCTTACTGATGACGTAATTACGGCTCCACTCAGCACGCTCTGCTCTTTGAGCAAAATACCGAACGCAAGAGCTCTTTTCACGTGGCTCCGGTTTAACTAACCGGGTTACAAAACGGTTAGAGAAATGACATACCGTTTTCCAACCCGGTTACAAAGTGACGTGATGGATAAGCTTTGTTTCACCAGGGTTCATACTTTTTGCCTTCCTTTTTTAATAAATGGAAAATGACCGAAACAAATCAATGACGTCAAAAACGTTCGTCGGCTTTTAAACCAGAAGTCATTCATTTTAATTTGTCAAAAAAATTGAATGTGTCATGACTTCGACAACCCTTTTTTCTCGAGTTATGACGCGTTCGATATCAAAAGTATGAACCCTGGTGAAACGATCTGTACCTACCACTCGAATTTGAGCGGTATGTTGCGGTTTGTTAAACCGGAGCCACGTGAAAAGGGTTAATGTATATTCTAGGGCGAGTTCAGAAATAACACACCGTGGGAGTGCGATTTTATGGGTGTGACTGAAATGACAATTCTTAGCCGACAACTTTCGTATGAATTTCTGAACGCTTGGTGTGACCAATCGAGCATCTCCTCAAAAATTTCACAAAATTTATTAGGATTACTTTTTTTTGTTCATTTTTTTCATTTGGAGGAAAAACTTTAATTCTTATTTGTGTTTTGTTTATATTTGGTAGGATTATTGAGATTATGGGAGGAATGGTTGACATTGTTGACATAAAGACACAAGCACATCGCAGCCACCAGCCACACCAAAAAATTATGGTGTGTGTGACCGGTACGACACCTGGAGCGCGCCCAAAGTACTTTCTGAACGGCACAGAGTGCGCGCACTCGGTGTGCCTACAGCATTTATGAACGGCTAGTGCGTCGCACCGGTGTCACACTCACAATATCGTATAAATTCAAAGAGAAAAATATTTATTTTTTTTGCATCAATGTCAAATGACGAACTTGTCCTCCCCTAGGGGGCAAATTCTCCTGGGAACGCTGCTCCCTGTTCCAAGGTCCTGAACTCGCCCCTAATCGGTGATTTCACCGATGAGTTAGCTATAGCAATCTTTGTTCAGGTGAATGGAAAATGACCGACATAAAATGGTGAATTAGGTGAATCCATTGTTAAAATTTGATGAGAATAAGAACGCGGGAGTACTACTTTTTTATCCATCAAATTAATCGAATTTGACGGAGCAAGAAAGAGCGCTCCGTGCGAAATTTGAGAGCGTTCTATTGCAAGTCGTACACGTCAAATCTTGCCGAGAGCAATGCTCATTTTTAAGCCGAACATGTGAATCCGTTTCGAATCGCTTTTTGATCAACCGGGTGCAGTTTTGAGGCCAAAGTCGAAAGCGCTACTTATTTTGCACTGCTCGGATTTTCCAGGCGAAATTTAAGGTTATGTGTTATGTGATTTTGATTGTTATAAAAACTAGGGCGCTTCTGCAAAAATTATAGAAAATTCCAATTTTTTCAGTTCAATTAAACAACCTGGTTATAAAAATGTCTTACCTAAGTACCAGTAAGTCCTAGCAATTAATATTTTCAAGCAGAAAACGCTAAACTCAAATAATTTTTCAGAAATATCTAGTTTAGTGGTAAGTTTAAGCTCAAATGCTTTTAACAGAGCATTACTCGTCCCCAGCTGCGATTTCTTGCAAGTGAGGAGTTATGCTGCACGAAAGGGCACCAGAGAAAGAAAGAAGAAGGCCAAAGTTAAGGTGGAAATTCAAAAAGTTGGATTTATTCCACATAATTTGAGAGAGAGGTAGGTAGACCCAGCAGCCAAATAATCGTCAGATGTGTGTACTTAAGGGACCTTGACGCTCATATATTTTGATGTTTTTAAGTTAAAACCAGAGCCCTACAAATTTGGTAATTCCTCTAGTAATTCTTTGACTAGGATTCTGCTTAGTAGTCTATATCTACTGCAATGAAATGTCCTCAAAAGTCAAGTCGAAACCCTGCTGAAAACTTAAACTTCATTCAGCTAAAAAAATTAATAATATAATTTGGGACATATTAATAGTTACTAAACCTCTTAAAATTGTTATTCAGAAAGTATCTGTTGTGATGCATATTTCTCAAATGTACTGAATTAAGAAAAGCTGAATTACTGCAATTCAGATTTCTCATACATAATATGTCCATAAAATCAGCAGTATAAAAGTTTTATGAAAAAAGGGGTTGGTAAAGTTTTCGAGATTAGAATAATGTAGTGCTAATTAGGTGCTAATGAAATGCCAAGCTACCAGATTGTGTGCTCTTGTTATTTCTGAGATGTGGCCTGCACTGCTAGCTACCCATTAAAGATAGCAGTGCACCATGCGGGTATGAAGGAAGTGGTAGGATGATATAAATGATGAAGAAAATTAAATGCTACCAATCAGTTTTTTCTTCGATCTCCGTTAGTATAGTAAATATGGACCACCGCACGCTTACTAACTCACCATGTATTTTATAGGCGAATTAAGATGTCAGAAATATATTGGTGTGATTTCATAATTATTGCTAAGCTAAGTAATTAGATTTTTCAAAAATTTTCATCCTCGTTTTCATCACTGAAAAAATGAGTGTTTAACCTTTAACGGCTACACAGTGGCCAGACACCTACCAAAAATCATTTTCGGTTATTTTGAAAATACTTGTGTTTTGAGAGGTGAGGGTTCATGTACCTATCTTTCAGTGGATCACTGTCCCACACATCAGTAATGATATAGCGTCAGTGGATTGAGCAGGGATTTTTTTTATGATGGATACTTGTCTACTAGACCACAGAGTAGTGATTACTTGAATGCATCCAGATGACTCAGAACTCGACTCAGAATTTCAAAAATGGGCACAAGATCTTTCGATTATTCAGAATTTGATGAACTTGATAAGATATAGATAAAGAAGAACGCGTAGATAGACTCAGAGCTGGTGCAAAGCAACTTGGAAATTGTCCAGCCTCTGAGGAAGTATACAGTGGGACCGTAAAGTAAGGAATAAATTCAATAATTATTCATTCAAGCATTTTTTAAAAAAATCCTCGAACACATCAATTTTATTTTTTGTCAAGCATTTTTTATAAAATAAAATAATTATACAGGGTGATCGCAGAAAAGCTGGACAGGTAGTTACTTAATTTTTTTAAATAGAAACCCCTAATTTTTTTGACATTTTCGGATTTCTGATAAAATTCTAAGTGTTTTTCATGAAACATGTCCTATACCTATTTTCAACTGTTTCGGAAATATTGACTTTTTGCAACTTTGACAGGCTGTAAAATCTAAAAGGTTGATTTTAGAGGAAAACCGATTTCACATTCCTATCTTAGCTTTTTATAAGCTATCATTTTATACCAACTTTGAATTTAATCTACGATTAAAATTTTCAGTTAAATTTAATTTCCAGGTAAATTTAAAGTTGGTGTCAAATGATAGTTTATGAAAATCTAAGAAAGGAATGTAAAGTCTGTTTTTTTTTTTAAAGATAATTCCCCAAGTCAAAAATTTAGTAACTTTGTTGGTAACACAAGCCTTTTCTACATAAAAAATTTGAAAGGATTGACAATTTTACATTGTATTGCCAACATAATGTCATTTTGACTTTTATCTTTAAAAAAAAACAGATTTTAGAATCGGTTTTCCTCTAAAATTAACCGTTTAGGTTTTACAGCCTGTCAAAGTTGCAAAAAGTCAATTTTCAACTGACAATATTTCCGAAACAATTGAAGATAGGTATAGGACATGTTTCATAAAAAACACTTAAAATTTTATCAGAAATCCGAAAATGTCAAAAAAATTAGGGGTGTCCATTTAAAAAAAATTAGGTTACTACCTGTCCAGCTTTTCTGCGACCACCCTGTATAATAATTTTATTTTATAAAAAATGCTTGACAAAAAATAAAATTGACGTGTTCGAGGATTTTTTCAAAAAATGCTTGGAAGATTAACTATTGAATTTATTCCTCACTTTACGACCGCACTGTATAGACTCTATGATTTTCATATTGATAAAAAAATTACAGCAGCTAAGCTGTGTTTGTTTGTTAACAGTTTTTTGGACCAAATTTTGGATTTAATTTGAGAATAATTTGAATTTTAAAACACGAATTCTAATGGTGTGTCCTCAGGTATGTCTGTGAGACCACTCTGTAGCAGTTTAAAGATTTTTTCCACTTTAGCCGTTAAAGGTTAATGGTATGTAATGTAGTAAGTCAGATTTGCATAGGTGTTCAACAGAATTAATATTGATCATTTCCAGAGAAAAAATGTTAGCTTCAAGAGGATCAAGAAAGTTCGACGATTCATGGAAGAAAGACCCCATTGACGATGTTTACGCAATGAAATACTACAAATGGACGGTTCATCCATTTGCAGATGCAGTAAAAGCCCATAGGGAAACTCATCATGCTGAAATCTACAATAAGCCTCAGTCGGAACTGTTCGCCACTATTGAATTGAATATGCAAGGAGAGAAAAAAGTATAAAGCTGCCTTTGAAATAATTCGTTCAGTATCAAATTTAATCATTTTAGACTCGTTTCGTGGACAATTTCAAAAGAATAGCTGCCATTCCTCATAAATTTGACCATGGCGAGGAGAGGACTATCATTGCTTTCGCAAAAACTTTGGAAAGCCAAAAGGAAGCTTCTGATGCAGGAGCTCAACTTGCAGGAGGAGCTGAACTTGTTAAACAAATTCAAAATGGAAAAGTAAGAAAGCTAATTGTCCTTATAAGATAATTATAAATCATTTGTTACATATGAAAGCTTATTTAAAAGTCTTGGACAATTTGTGTGAACACAAAAACACCCGCTTGTAGGGCATAAATCAGGAATAGATAGCTGTCCATACTTTTTAATCATGCGTACCGATTCACAGCCAGAAAAGTTGAATTTTGAATAAACAAAAATCTTCTATAATATCAATTATTGATATTCTAGGTTTTACTTCAAGATTTCCAACATATTATAGCCCATCCTGATATATTGCCTGAATTGGTAGTGTTAAGGTAAATATTTGTTTCGTTTTTTTTTTTAGTTTAGAAAAAAAGTACCCTATTTTGTTCTAGAGGTGTAATGAAAAGGAGGTTCCCTAACCCCAGAAACGGTACATTAGACATTGATTTAAAGCTAGTAGTCGATAGATATTTACATGGAATTAGTTATCAGGCGGTCAAGGACGAGTATGAGAAGGATTTCGGACAAATTGTCGCTGTTTTGGGAACTGTAAGTTTGTGCTTTGAATAATAAAAAACGGGGCGGGGCAAAAAACTAACAAATAGGTCATTGCAGGAAAAAAATATTGCAAAATAGATTCGTGAAAATCCATTGAATCCCATACCCCATACAATTCTCCAATAATTCAACTAATATGTACTTATTTAAAAAAAAAAATTATAATTACATTTGTTGTGATTTTTTAATTCAATGTGAAAGTGAAAATTGCATTGTTATTTATTTATTTATTCATTTACGGCAAGGCCAATTTACAATAACAATAATAATAATTATTTTTTATTTATTTATTAACAACAAATTTTCATTCATAGTACATAATGCCTTTTGACTAGTAATAATTTATAAATTTACAATAATTTGAGTAAATGCACCTAGATGCTTGAAACATCTGTATGTGCATTGTGTTTTCACATTAATGTTTAATAAAATATATTTTATTTTTTTCACACTTAATAATTTTAACTATTATTTTCAACATCCATAAATTTTAACTCAACCTAAATATCAAAAAACAAAACCTAACCCACCCCATTGACCAGACAACAATCTAAAAAAGCCTTTCAAATTGAGTCAAATTTTGGCAAACAAACTGTGCACACAATTTTTGAAATTTTGTCTTGTTTTGACATCTACTTACCTTCACTGGGAGTAAATGGTACATCTTAGGTCCGTAATAATTTATGTACTTCGAGTTAAGATTCCTGTTACTAAAAGGAATTTGCAAGTGATGTCCCTCTCTTGCCCTAGTTGCATAATTATGGTTTACAATGAGTTGTATTATATAATATTTTTGTCTTGTATACTTCACAAAACATATTATTAAAGATATAAAGAGTAAAAAGAAGTTGAGAACTAAGAATAAGAGGATAAAAAATGTAGAAACATATAATCAATTTATACAATTAAGAACCAAGACATGAAGACATTAAGAAAGCACATGAAGATTATTTAATTGAAATTCAGCAAGACATCAGCCAGAGTTGTTGGTATACCTAACGTGACCATTTATTTGTGGACTCAAAACGGGACAAACGGGAATGGGGGACAATGTGTATTCCTTTCACACCTAGGACTAGGAGGTTACATTACGCGCTTATTCCTTCCTTTTGAAAAGTGTTTGTTGCACCACACATCTCTTCCTTTCAAATCGGGGTCGACTAACACCGGACCGAGTAGCTCGAGTGTTCCAAACTCTTGAAAGGAATACAACTATTGGGTAACACTTAAATTTTGTGCGACAGTTTTCGCATTTGACATCCGACGGAGTATTTCTTTGCTTGTAAACGGGGACTCAGCTTGTTAATTAACATTGAACGTACACAAATATTTCGTGAGTATCAAACAACTGAAATAAATGAATTTCAAAAAAAAAGACAATAAACAAATTGCGCGGGAAGTGCGCTATCCGTAAGAGCCAAAATTATAGTCGCTTCTTGAGGTTTCTTCACACCATAAAGAGGCCTTGAATGTTTAGCATTGACATAACTAACTTGTCAAATAGTAGCAAGTGTGGATTCTAAACTCACGACCTTCAAGGAAGACCCATGATGCAGGGGTGCGTTTGAGAACCAGGTGAACCTTGACCGAACACTCTAGTCCTGGAGTGAAATTTGAGCATCTAACATATAATATGATATGACACGGATGTTTTGTTTTTGTACGCAATTATTTTTTTTTTCGCGAGGTTTGGGAAAACGGGACAATTTTGCGTCCCACAGCGTTTCTCGGGGACACCAGGACAGAGAACCGAAATAAGGGACGGTCCCGTTGAAAACGGGACGTATGGTCACGTTAGGTATACCTAACACAATGCATCTAAATAATCTGCAATTTATTGATAGTAAATCAATCCAGGTATTCTTTCGATCTGAACAAACTGATTGTAATCACATAAGGTTTGTTTATGAGGCGTCAACAAAACAGGGCCAATGAAATCGTTGTGAAATCGGATGACAATTGTTTGAAACAAACCTCAAGTGACTTTGATCAGTTTGTTCAGATCGAAAAAATACCTGGAATATTGAATGGGTTTGCTGCATATTTCAGTTCAGTCTATGCCAACGATCCTGAAGACTCCGACATTCATGATGACTGTCAGGTTTTCGATGCTTTGTGTTTGGACCAAATCAAATATGAGGATGTTTGTGATGCTGTCAGGAGCCTTAAAGTTAACAGATCAGTTGGTCTGGATAATGTGCCATTTTAAGGGAATGATCAGTTTTTTGGTAGAGCCACTTTGGATTTGGTTAACCTTTCATTGAGGTCAAACACTTTTCCTCAAGCATGGAAAGAGGCAAGGATTTATCCTGTATTCAGAAAAGGCCTAGATCACTGTTGTCGTGCCCCGCCAAAATATTTGAGTCCATCCTATATAAGTTCATACAGTGAGGACATAAAGTCCGTCGCCCCCCCCTCTAACTTTTGAACCGCTCGGTATATTGCAACGAAATTTTGAATGATGATCTGTGACTAGATTCTCCATGTTTTCAAAATCAAATGACAGCTTCAGCTGTCAAAATGACAGCTAGGTGCAGTTTTGGAACGTTTTTTTAAATAGAAGGCGGTGTCGAATGATATATCGTTTTAAAGGTTTCTTCATTCTTAATTTAATCCCTGATTCTGAAAACATTTGGTTTAGCGGTTTTCAAATGATGACGAAAAAACAAAGGCTTGTTTTGCTCATAAACACTCATGAAAAAAAAAATTAAAAAATTTTTATCGCTTTTTTATTCATTATTGTCTTTTATTCAGTAATAATAATGACGTCATGACATTGGTAACTAAAAAAATGAATAAAAAACCGATAAAAAAAATTTTAATTTTTTTTTTTTTATGAGTGTTTATGAGCAAAACAAGCTTTGGTTTTTTCGTCATAGTTTGAAAACCGCTAACCAAATGTTTTCAGAATCAGGGATTAAATTTAGAATGAAGAGACCTTCAAAACGATATATCATTCGACACCGCCTTCTATTTTAAAAAACGTATCAAAACTGCGCCTAGCTGTCATTTTGACAGCTGAAGCTGTCATTTGTTTTCCAAAAAATGGAGAATCTATTCACATATCATCATTCCAAATTTCGTTGCAATATACCGAGCGGTTCAAAAGTTAGAGGGGGGCGACGGACTTTATGTCCTCACTGTATATAATTTTGTGAAAAACAAGATATCAGCCAGACAACATGGTTTCCTAAATAAGCAATCTACGGCTAGTAATGTAGTAAATTGTGTGAGATGATTCAGTATATTGCTGAGAGCCTTGATGGCAGATGCCAGGTCGACGTAATATACACAGATTTTGCCAAGGCTTTTGACAGAATATCGCATATTATTCTTATACAGAAGCTGTGTAATGAGTTTGGTTTTTATGATAATCTGGTAGCTCTTTTCAAATCATATTCACATAATGGACCACAACGAGTTGTCAGGGGTTACTACTCCGATTATTTTTGTGCAACTTCAGGTATTCCGCAGGGCTCCAACCTCGGACCATTGCTCTCTGGTTGTATATAAATAATTTGGTTAATGAAGTTAGTGGTACAGAAGTATTGTTTGCAGATGACCTAAAATTATATTCAAGAAATAACAACTAAAGTGACTGTACCGTATATCTAGAAAAATTTGGACAAAATATGTCTATGGTCAATTAAAAATAAATTACAATCCAATATTGATAAATGTTTTGTGCTTAGTTTTAGTAGAAGAAAAACGCATTTTAACTATGAGTATACAATGAACAAAAGGGCACTGGCTAGGGTTGCTGAAATGCAGGATCTTGGGGTAATAGTTGACACCCAGCTTACATCAGCGTTGCCACCTTTGGTAGATTTATTCTACTTTTCTAGTAGATTTTCAGCATTTTTTGTAAAATTTTAGTAGACAGAATTTCTAGTAGAAAATCTAGTATTTAGATTCTGATAGTTTTTGAGTTCCATAAAATACGATACAAATCCTAATATCGATTGTGGAAATAATAATTCAAATCGAAAAACGGAATATGCCCAATGTATTTTAGTACGTAGTGTAATGTCTTGTTTTGGACTTTATTGTTATTCATATCGTTTTTCATCTGTAAAACCAAGACGGAAATATTTCTCATTAGAAATTAAAATTGCTATGACAGACTACGACTGTAGCCGCTCCCAACTGCCTAATATTTTCCAACTTTCTTATTGAAGGCCGAATTTATAGTCGTTTCTTTGACTCTTCCTTGACAGTCGTGAGTTTAGAATGGACACTTGTTACTATTTCACAAGTTAATCATTTCAATTCTAAACGTTCAAGGCTTCCTTAAGGTAACGTAAAATTTGTTTCACGGGAGTTTGTACTTTTGACATCGACGATGTCATAATTTTGAAAAAAAAAAAACGTTTGTAGTAGATTTTTAGGCAATCTACTGACCTGTCAAAAACGAAATTCAATATGGAAGTTCGGGTCAAGCATTTAGGTCGGCATACACACGCGTTATTTCGCGCGGTTTATCGTGGCGTGTTGGGATGTAGCGGTTTGCACGCCCGAAAGAACGGCGTGGCAAAAAAAGCGTCATGTTCCATGCACATGACAAAGTATTCAAACGATTTAGCACGTGATTACGCGCGGCATATCAGTTGGAAAGGAAAAACCGTATGTGTATGGATAAAAAGTGTAATTTATCGTGTCGTTTGGAAGTGCATGTTGTCATGTACTAATTTTCAACGTGTTAATTCGTTACGTGGCGTTCATGTTTTCGTACTAGCCCCAAAACCGTGACGTGGAATGGCGCGTGAACTGCACTTATCATGTACTTGAGTACTGACGCCACATTCCAGATGAAAGCACGTCGGAAATCCCTTCCCATTCTATCATTGCGTGCAGCCCTCCTCACTCACGCACATGATTTTTCACAGGTTTTTGCAGATGACACGAGAAACCGCGCGAAATAACGTGTGTGTATGCCGGCCTATTGGGTCAAGCGTCTATGGGTCAAGCACTGTGTTGTTTATTCTGTATGT